ACTTTTCCTTTAATAGCAAAAGAAAAGTATATTTAGTGGTGAGTATTCCTTTGTTGGCTTTTGTGGATGCATAAAGCCTTCCAAATTTCATTCAATTCTAATCTTCTGCTTTTTTACAAACACCATGAAATCATCCTGATTAGTGAAGAGACATTTTATTATGAAGAAGAGAAACACCTAACCACCATACCTCTAACGCTTTGGCAAGAAGCAAGCAACGTTCTTTGTTTGGAAAGACATAACATATAACATTTATTTAGGTTATGACCTTTGGAATGACTATATTTTATCACGTCGTGTGCAGCATTTCACCATGGTGCATGGCTGGGACGCATGTCAATTTGTCTTCTTACATAACAGAGACATTTGAGACGCAGTTTTGCTCTGTCACAGCATCAGTGGTTTCCCAGTCTAAGAATGGAGCCTCAGCCTATTGGTCGATGTTTCTATTTTTGTCTTTGCTTCATGGAGAGAGCCGAAGTCAGACTGAACACGGATGTGATTACTTCTCTTCACTCGTTTCTGTTTCTGCTCACAGTAAGCCTTGAGGCTCTCTCTGAGAGACTGTTTCTCTGACAGAGCAACACTTAAAGAATATTTCCAAGCTCCGCATTCAAAACACCGTGGTGATACTGAAATAGTTTTAAGCCTGCAATCATTTTTACCCTTTTCCAACAGACACAATTATGTCTCCCTGGATGATTCTGCCATTTCTAACGATATCTGACCCAAAAATAATCCTACAAAGTTCAATAGGATTTAATTAGGTTGTTTTATGCCAAAAACAAAATATCACCTCTCTGTGATTTAAAATTCATACCCAATAACAAAACATTCCAGCTTTGTCATTGCAGCAGATAGTTTCGCCAGTAGAACTAAAAAGTATCTTAAGGCCCTGTCACACCTTGCACGCTGAAGTACGCTGGCACACGTCGACATACGGTAAGTACGTCATGTATGCCAGGGTATGCCAAACGTGGCCCATAAGTTATAAGTAAGTTATCTGATCGTTGACATGCGTTAAGTGTAAGTTACTCATAAGTCATGGTCCTAGCTTATCCTGTCAGTAACTTATATCAACATATTGCATATCAATGTATTTGACGTGTTCCAGACAACCGCTGAACGTGTTTCTAACTTACAGCTACTGTATAATGGCACATTGGCAGCGTTTAGGTATAAAAGGGGGTTCAAAGGGATTCCTTTTAGGTATAAAAGGAGGAAACTGTCAGTTCTCCTACAGATTTCATCCCAATCATAGGGTGAGTGAGAAGGTGAGTGTAATGGACCTCTCTGCGTTCATGCCCACAGCCTTTTTATGCATTTTTAAATGCACTTTTTATGCGTTATACGTTAGGCTGTCATTGGACATAAATTCTGGACTCATTATGAATACTAAATGTATACGTCCAAAATTGAAAAAGTTAATGGAAAGTTCAGCCAGCGGTTTAGGAGATTCTGGGACATTAGGCATATGCTGGCTAAATCGTCAAGGTGTGACAAGGCTTTACTTTACAAATCCAACAGAGACAAAGCGGGTAGGCTGTAGTTTAATTTTAATACTTGAAATATTATAGGCATACCTTTAATGACACTCATCCACTAAATCCATGTTAAGCAACACAGGGTTTTCTATTACAGCTGCTGAGGATTTATCCCCCATTGTATGCAGTTGTTGTTGCTATTCCTGCCTGACTGCCCTCTCGACTCTGCTCTGGAGGCCGTCTGCTGCATTGATATAGAGGAATGACACACACTTCCATTTCAAGAGATTACTGCCACATGTATTGGCAGCATTTTGGTATAAAAGGGGGTTCACAGGAGGAAACTGTCAGTTCTCCTCCAGGCTTCATTCCCATCATAGGGTGAGCGAGAAGGTGATTGTGACGGATCCTCCCTGGGTTAATGTCCACGCCCTCGGCCAACAAACTTCCTAGCAGACATGACGCTGAATCTGCTGCGATTGCAAACCTTCTTTCTTTGTTGTTCTTTTGATTTATTCTTTTTTTGGCAGGCGGTAAGATGCAGCAACGTTAATACCGCGTTAAAAGATACCTTTGCCCGGGTGCCTCGGGGCACATTGCTGCCCCCCTCAGGACACTGGCTTGTGACATTTCATGGACATTACTCTGCTGTGTTTAATACATAAGTTAGGCTGTCATTGGAAATATGCTCTGGACTTGTTATGGATGCTGTATATGCCCAACATTGAAAGAATACATAGAAAGTTCAGCAAATGCCAGATTCTGGGACATCAGGCATACTCTGGATTAATCGGCAAGGTGTGACAAGGCCCTTATAAGCCTGTTAATCAGGCCTGTAGTCAGTCCCTGATGGAGATTGTCCTGCTAACGATTTTTCTAGATTCTGCCACCTGAGGAGCAGAAAAGTCCAATTTGTTGCTTCTTTGATTGCTCCTTCAGTGTCTGTCATGAACAACCTCAAATACTGGGATTGTATTTATCCTTTTAACCACACAAATACTCAAAGGCAATTTGGGACATAATTGGGTGTTTATGGCTTAGTTCCCATTAGCAGCCATTTAGTCCCT